CCTCCGGGGCAGGCGGGGATCGAACTCATGCAGAAGTGGCTTTAGCTTCTTAGTGCAGTGCTTTAACCCGCTGTGCCACCAGGGAGGGCCTAATTTCATTTTCTTGATCCTCTGTATACCTTAATGCAAAAATGTTACATATTCTGAATTTTTATTTTCAAATGCAGATTTTTTTTTTTTTTACTTTGGAAATATCATATTCCTTTTGGGTCTGCTTTTATATCTGTTGGGATGGATCAGAGAATTTATTTCAGGCTCCTGAGTATCTACAGCTCAGAGAAGACATTTTTGAGTACTCTACAGACAAATTACGGTATATTTAGGCAGGCTGGTGACAGCAGGCACTATTCCAGCTCTGCTTGAGCTCCATAATATTGTTCCTTATAATCCCTGACTCAAGCAGTTTCTGCACAAATACATTATAGAACCCTCTGCTAAATACATTATGAGGCTCCTCTGAAAAGCCTCATGATATGGTGCAGCTCTCTTTCTTGATATGCTGTTCTGTGGACTCTAGTCACTTCTCCCTGAACTCTCATTTCTCTGTCAACTTTGGAGAGTCCACCAGGCTCTGCTTGTTCTTCTTCTCCCTCAGCTGTGGGCTGCAAATACTCAAGAAAGTAAGTTGAGGCTATGGGATGGCTCACTCTGATGTATTCCCCTTTTCTTAGGGACTAATTGCCTTATGTCCAGTGTATTGAAAATCATTGCTTAAAATGAACCCTGGTCTGTTCTTATCCTATTTTAGAGTGGAGTGTAAATGTGGTCTTTGTTAGTATATCTTTGATGGAGGCCTGAGTCTCTGATCCTAGATGTTAACTAGAAGATTTCCCTCAAGACTTATGATGCACTGGAGCTCTTAACCTTGACATTCCCTCCTTTAATCCCTATCAGGGCCTGATCCTCTCATCCCTCAGTATAGCACATGGCTTACTCCCTCCTCTCTCTCTCTCATTGATCAATAAGGACAATGTAGAGTAGTCAAAAACAGAGTACCCTAATCCAACAAGCTTTCACCTTATATATGAATAACACCTTATATATATATATATATATATATATATATATATATATATATATATATAAATAATAGTGAACTTTTATTCTTGCTCATGGAACATTCTTGTTTTTCTTAGAAATGGGAATGATATATATTTAAATAGCATGGCTTTTCACTACTTACATATCTTGTGAAAGCAGGGACTATTTCTGTTCTTTGTGTGTGTGTGTTTTATCTGCAACAGGCAGCCCCAACTCTTTATAAAGGCAATTGATAAATATCATAGATTTCATTCCAATTTTTCCATAATCTGAATATTTAATTATTCAAAACCACATTATCTTCATAGATAATTTTGTATATATCCATATTCTTCATATTTTCTCTTATCTCATACATCTTGAATACAGAATTTCAATGTGCATTAATTTCCTTTGCCTACCAGCGGTTAATAATTTGGAAATAATTAAAAAGAAAAGTATGTCACCATGTGAATAATATCCTATCATTTGTGTAATATATGCAGGTGAATTATCATATACATTTGTTTTGTCTTATATGAAAGACATGTAAGCCAATAGTTGGTACTTACCTTCAAAAATATTTCTATTAGGTGACAACACCAAGAATAGTTTCAAACATAATTTATAAGTTGAGTGATGAAGAGAGAAACACTTGTACTTCTCCAAGAAACATTATCTGTGAATAAAGGAAATGATAAAGTTTGAGTTACAGCTTTCATATTTTCAAAAAGGTCACAGATAGTAAATAAGTAAAAAAGACTAGCCGTGTACGTAAATGTATATATGTATAAAGACTATATAAAAGAATATATAACTAACTTAGAAGCTTTTGGTTAGCAATTTAGAAAGTCTGACCGCCTTTGTCCAAGCCTGAGAATTATTTTTCTGCACAAATCTGTCTTATTTTTCAAATGGATGGTTTCAAAATTGATCCTCTAAAGCCATTTACTACCCACTGGTTATAATCTCATATTACCAGTTCCCACTATTTATTTGTTGATCTTTTAACAAGATTTCATACATACATTCCTTATTTACCAAGTTTGAAAATACACTTTCTCAAAAGTCACTGACCGACACAGCTGTGCCCTGCTTATTGAGCTACCTATGCAGAGGAGATGGGAGACCAGTATCTTGAGTCTTGCCTTCTGGAACAAAACTGGGTAATGGTACTACAAAAGAAGGCTTCTCATCATTCCCTCAAAAATGCCTTGCAAAGACTGTTAGCTTGTGTCCTTCTCTAGGGCACGGGCCAGCCCTCATTCCCATCAATTACTGTCTATAAGTGAAAGACGTATATGTGGGATTGAGGAGCAGAAAGCCACAGAGTCTCCACATGGGTCTTGTGAACACCATGATCCATTAGGCCTTCTGGAGACCCGTCAGAGTCATTTTCTGGTGTTGCTTCAGGGTCACCGATATACAGCACCCCACTGTTCCCTGAGGGGACACAGTATAACAACACTGTTATCTTTTCACTGCTCATCACCTTTTCACAACCACTTGACAACTGAATAAATAGAGACCCTTTAATGAAGGTGTCCACATCACACAAACAAAATTGGCCCAACAAGACTTTATTTCTATTCATGTCTAATAGGGTGTCAATGAATAGCAACCAGCACTGTACCTGGAAGGTGCCTACTGACCAGAAGCAGTAAGGGGCTGAAGTCCACTACTGAATGTTCTGATGTGGGCTTAACGACAGTAAAATAACCGCAGTGCAAGGGAAGCCAAAGTTTGTTGCTGTAGTCTGCCAAAGCTAAACACCATCTCCACATCCCTTTTCCTCCCATTGCTGCTGTTTCTGTCCAAGTCATTTCTCACGTGATACAATTATATTGAAGCTTGAAGTAAAATGTTTATAGAAGAAAGTGATAGCATAATAATTTGATTTGGTTTGCTGAGGTGTGCTTTACATACAATAGAATTCACCCTTTTTAGTCGTACATTTAACTAAATTAGACAGAGCTCTATCAGCAGATGAGAAGTACAGTTCACCTTTCCCCCAGCTTCTTTCTATTCTCCGTCTCTTTTTCTACTCCCTCATATGATTAATGCTGTATGATTATTTTACCAATAAAAAGGCCAGGATCTTGCTCATACACAGCATCCTGCATTATGTAGCCTGCTCCACAACTCCTATCTCTTTGTCAGTGCAGTGTTGCCCGACGCAACAAAGTGAGGCACAGGGTCTTTTTACTATAAATACTGCGCATTTCACAATATGCATAATACAATCCTCAGGTTGCATGGCACAGCTCCCCAATTTCTGGACATCCTCAGAACTCACCACCTCTGCAGGCCTGGATGATAATGACCTTGGATTTATCCTTTAGATAAAAGCAGTTGCGGGTGTTGAAAATCTGGAAGATGGTGTCATAAGGTAAGACATCTGGCTTTTCATCACTGTGCATGGTTCCACAAATTTTATCCAGGATGCCATGAGACATAAACACTAAGAATGTGCTATCTGAAGTCATATGCTCGCAGCAGGCAGCAAATATTCTTAGCTTTAAAACCATGTCCTGAAAGACGGTAAACCTTTAAATATTAGACCATAATCCCTACTTCTACAGTCATACTTTGAGCAAAAGAAATAACAAATGCAATGTGCATAACACTTCACCCAATATAACAACACTGTTAAATTTTCACTGTTCATCACCTTTTCACAACCACTTGACAGCTGAATAAATAGAGACTCTTTAATGAAGGTGTCCGCACCTGGGTGCTTGGAACTGACAGTTCCGTTACTTTGTTGTTGTCTGTTACAGTGATAGTTACAGGAATTCTGAAAAATAGCACATATATAACAATAGTTATTATTTTAACAACTTATGAAAGTAGAATTCAGTGGCATTAAATGTATTCTCAGTGTTGTATAACTGGTCATATTCACAAGGAAGTTGTAACTCTAACACTGCTTTAATATTACGAGGCATTTGGTTGCCTATACTTGTTCTCAAATATTTTCTGATTTATATATGACCAGCTTAGAAATAAACAACTGGATAAAAAATCTTTAGATTTTAATTAGTTCAGAAGTATTACCGGCCATTTGCTTTCTGAAAGAAAGAGCAAATGTGTCTTTAAGCAAACTCAGTTCCTATTACTATTTTTCTCTTAGCCAACTACATTGTGCCCTCTGCTCCCAGACCTGTGAGGGATTATCACAGTTCCACTCCATGTACTATCCTAGAATACTTCATTTTGGTTAGAATATATTTGGCAGCAAAGCTATAGATACAGAAAAACACCCCTCAAGGGTCTCATGGAGCGTCAAAATCTGAATATACTTGATGAAAACAAATATAACCCATCCATCTACCCTCCCCATGCAGTTATCACCTTCCTAGTGGAAGATTTGGATTCACATTCTTGTTACAGTAAAAGACAAATAAAGCAAACCATCATTGATCCCCCCACTGCTGAGTGACAGGGGAAAGTGGCATCATCTCTGCTCCTCCCCAATCTTGTAACTTGGTAACTTGTAACTTCCTAGGTTGTTAGCATGGGTATTCTTTCCCCACCTATAAGCAGGTGAAGAGCCAAATTGTGAACACAGATCTTGTAGAGACCCAGTGAGGCTGGCAAATGTTGGTGTCCAGGAGCAAGATGAATGCATGAAAGAACCTCAGAGTTTACCAGGAAGCTCTCCATTGGCTGTAAGTAATAATGGTCTTAGCGGTCATTTATTTGATCTGGTACAAAGTACTGTGGCAAAGCTATTGCTTTCTGATAGTAAGAACTCATTCTTAACTCACACCAACATTCAAGAGAACTTATGGCAGATTTTGTTGGCATTATTAATACACATCTAGAAAAGCTGCTGATTAAGCTAGTTGTGGAAATGGAGTTTAAATGTATTTGTAACTTTTTACCCTCTGATTGGTTTTTATTGATTAATAGCATGGTTAGATTTTTCAATACTATGATTCTTTTAACAGAAAAGTAACTCTTCTACTTATATTGAAGTGTTTTTGCAGCTACAAATTATTATTTTTTAAAATTTTATAATATTTTATTTTTACATATTTTTGTGCATTTTTCCATCTCAGTTGCAATCCCCTAGGGTTTCCCATCACCATATCACCCATGTGCCATCACCATAGTCCAGTGAATTTCCCTCCCCCCTCTGTTTTTTATCCCATTCCCCACTCCATCCCCACAAAATGTCTCTGGTATATAGCTGTTCATCATTATCATTATTTTCTTGCCTGTTCTGTTATATTCCTGCTATGAGAGAAATCATTTAGTATTTTTCCTTTTCTTTCTGACTTATTTCACTAAGCATGATCTTTTCCACTTCCATCCATGTTGCTGCAAAAGACATGTGTTTCTTTTCTTTTGGTGGCTGAGTAATATTCCATTGTGTATATGTACCAAATCTTTTTAATTCAGGCGTCCATTTTTGGGCATTTGGGCTATTTCCATGTCTTTCCAATTGTGAATAAAGTAGCAATGAACATGGAGGTACAGGTATCTTTTTGAATCAGTGTTTTTATGTCTTTTGGATAGATACCTAAGAGTGGGATTGCTAGGTCGAAGGGACGCTCCATGTTTAGCAGTCTGAGGAACCTCCAAACAGTTTTCCATAGTGGTTGTACTAGTTTGCATTCCCACCAGCAGTGCAGGAGAGTTCCTTTTGATTATGAAACCTATCAGTGGTTATCAGAAGAAAAGAGGGGAGGGAATTGTGAATCAAGAAAAGTAAGGGGGGGGGCTCCTCTGGTGGCACAATGGGCTAAGTCACAGCACTATGAAGCTCTCCACAGTCACTGCAGCACAAGTTTGATCTCCAGCCAGGGAGCTGACTCAGATTGTGTGGCAGACCTCACCTGTCTTGCCTGCTACTCCCCTCAGCAGTGTGTTTTGGTATATCTTGTCTATTCTGCTACCTACTCTATCTCTGGCATATCCTCTCAACCCCCGCATCTCTGGCCTGCACCCCAGCCCTTGGTTGAATAAATAAATAAATCTTAAAAGAAAATAAAAAGGGGATGATGGTATGGTGAAAATTAAATTTGGACATTCAGCACTAAACTTAATGCAGTGCATACATACTGATTTTAATGATGTACACTGAAACTTTTATGAATATATGCATTTATATTAGAATGCATGTCACCTAAGAAAGAAAACAAATGCAATTATCAGGAGACTGGCCCACTGCAGTTCTGGTAGCAGTACAGCCATGGCCCAATTGTGCCTATGACATGGCTTTGACCATGCCTGCTGCTGTAACACAAAGGCCCTCCAGCAGGATCACTTTCTCTAATTATTTTGTCCAGCCTCTTAATCAGTCATGTGAGCACCCGTGTCATTTCTATAAATTCTCTTCTTAGGTTAAAAAAAAATATTTTTCTTTTCTTATGCTGTCTTTATCTAAATTTATAATCATAATCTCAATATGTTATCAAGTATCCCAACCATCTCAGTATTTTAAAAGAGTAGTAGAATTCATGGAAGAAGATATTTGGTCTAGACTTTTCTTTGTTGCGATATTTTTGATTATCAATTCAATTTCTTTACTAATACAGATATAGTCCATATAGTTTTATTACTATATTATACATAGTCATATTATATTGCATGTTTCTAAGGGTCCATTGATTCAGCTAAGTTAGGCAATTTAATGACACACATTTGTTTAAAGTACTCTACTACTACAATCTTTTTTTAAATCTCTGTAAGGACAGAAAATGACTCCACTTGTATTTCTGACTTTGGTTGTTGGTATCTTCTGCTTTAAAAAAAAAATTAGTTATTTATGCATACAAGAGCTGGGATGAAGCCAAAGGTGAAGGTGAATGGGAAGCAGAACAGACAGATTGGCTGATATACACTGCTGAGGGGAGCAGCAGGCAAGACAAGAGAGGTCTGCAGTACCATGTGGGTCAGCTCCATGGCCGGGGATTGAACTTGTGCTGCAGCGGTAGACAACAGTTTCATAGTTCTGAAAATTAACATCATATGCTACCAGGGAGGCCCCTGTTTTTCTTTTTTGTTGTTGTTTAAATAAAGGTGTGTCATTTTTGTTGATTATTTTAAAGAACTAAGTTTGGGTTTCCTTGATTTTCTCTCTTCTAACCTGCCGAGCTGTTGTGCTGAAGTTTCAGCACCAGAATTTCTTGCTCATTCTCTTTCATAATTTCTCTCTCTGTGGCTGTCCTCATGTTGTCCATCTATCTTATTCTTGTGTTTTCCCATGTCTTCCTTTAGTTTTCTGAGCATCTTTAAGACAGTTGTCTAAGTTCTTCCCTCTGGATTTCCTCAGGGATGGTTTCTTCATTTATTTTATTCCTTTGATGGTCTATGCTTTCCTGTTTATTTTGTGCTTTATGAAATTTTTGTAAAAAACTGTATTTTTGAGTTTGAACCTAAATTAGATTCTTTCCTTACCCCAAGGACTGTGGTTATTGTTTTAGTGTATCTCTGTGCCAGAGCTCAGCCTCAAGTGAAAGCTAAAGGTCGTCTCAGGTGCTGTTTGAGCTTGAGCATTCCTAAATTTTCTGTATTTGAAATTATTTTGAATAACAACACACACACACACCAGCAACTCAGATGCAGGTCCTTTGTGTGTCTTGGAAGCCATTTCATTGGGTGGGGACTGAAACATGGCATGCAGCTCCTATATCTACAGCCATCCAACAGTGCTCCCCAGCCATAACATGGCACCCTGACATTGGGAGGACAAGGTGCTTACTACCCACTTTGCATCCTTAAGTGTCATCATAAGTACAGGCTGCTGCTCCCACAGCTGCATGCCAGGGGACTGAGGGTGGGAGTAGGTAGCTGCCACTATACTCAGATTGAAATTGACTAAAATTAACTGCAATTTACCAGCCAGCTCTTCTCTGAGAGGATTCAAATAAACCCCAGAGCTCTAAAATAGTCACTTCAGACTTTTTCTGTCAGACAGTTGTTCTCCAGGTGGAGAGAGATGGAATCTGGGTGTTGTCTAACCCTCCTTCACTGACTTCACTCTGTGGTACTGGTTATTTTTCACTTGTGATCCCAGATATATTCTCTGATCTTCATTGTTCTGTGAATCAGACCATTGAGCTCTTTGGTTATCAACCTTCAAATTGTGTTTAGTCAAGAGAAAGCACTAGCAGGAGATCAGAGGAAATCAGAGAGCAGTGGAAGAGTGGGTTGAGGATATTCTACCCCTTCACATGCTCATATCCCAGGGTAGCCCGATTCCTGTCAGTGGCTGTGTTCTCTATTAGTACAAGGCACTTGGTGATCCTCTTCTCTAGTTCTCACCATATCACCACATGTTGTAACAATATATAGGCATGTGTGGGTATGTGTGGGGAGGTGTGTCTCCTAAGTAAAATAAAGCAGCACTTTCCACTTCAAAAATAACTATATGGAAGCAGACAGGCCAGCCAGTGAGCACACTCAGTAGAGCTCATGTGAAGTGGAACTTCTCAGGTTCCCATGCTTGTGGCTTAGGACTGTGGAAAGATACACAGGAATGCTACAGAAGTGAGCTACTAGCATTGGGTAAATGCAATCCCAGAGGCACTGTCAGAAATCAGGGGCTTTATGGGCCACACCTGGGACAGAGAGTGGGAGGGGCCCACTAGCAAACACACACCCACACATAAATAATGATGAAATTTTTATAAGCCACAAATAACCCTGAATGGCCATTGTTCTCCTGCCTAAAACAAAAGGTAATAGAGGTATCATACTCCCACACTTCAAACTACATTACAAAATACAATACAGTACAAACTACACTACAGACTTCAAAATACACCAATCCAGTATGATACTGGAACAAAAACACATAGACCAATGGAACCTAATAGAAAGCCCAGAAATAAAGCCACACCATATGGACAAATAATCTTTGACATATAATCAAAGAGCATGCAATGGAATTAGAACAGTTTGTTTAATAAATGGTGCTGGGAAAACTGGACCACCATAAGCAAATGGATAAAACTAGACCACTACCTCACACCATGCACAAAAATCAACTTAATATGAATGAATGAACTGAAGATAAGACCTGAAATCATGAAATATATAAAAGAAAATATAGGTTAAACACTACATGGCATACATCTAGCAACATCTTCGAGGATTCATCCTGCAAGAAAAAGAAGCAAAGGGAAAAATAAACAGCTTGGGTTACATAAAATTAAAAAGCTTTTGTACAGCAAAAGGGGCATTGACCAAAACAAAGAGACACCCTACCAATTGGAAGAAAATTTTTGCACCCATTCCACTGATAAGGAACTAATCACAAAGATACACAAAGATCTCACAGGACTCAGCAACAACAATAACAAAAAGGTAAACAGTCTGGTCAAAAAATGAGAAGAATAACTTAAGAGACTCCTCCAAAGAAGAAATTCCAATGGCCAAGATGGATATGAAAAAATGTTTAACATCTCTTATAATCATCAACAATATATGTTGGTGAGTATGTGGTAGGAACCTCACCAGTCCTTATACTGCTGGTTGGAATGCACTGGTTGGTTGGTACAACCACTATGGAAAGCTGTATGGAGATTCCTCAGCCACTAAAATTGGAGCTACCATATGACTAAAATTGGAGCTACCAATAGTAGTTCCACTCCTATGGAAAGGACACAAAATTTATTTATTCAAAAGGATATTTGCACCCCTTTGTTTACTGCAGCATTATTTGCAACAGGTAATAATTGGGGGAAAAAATGCCTTCTTGAGTGGATTGAGAAGACATGATATATATATCAATGGGATACTATTCAGCAATCAAAAGAGACAAAATCATGCCATTCTCAGCAACATGGATGGAGCTGGAAAGATTATACTCAGCAAAATAAGTCAGAAGGAAAAATAATAATATTTGGATGGTTTCACTTATAGAAGGAAAATAAGAGAACCAAATGAGGGTCCAAGGCAAAAGACATAATAATAACAATAAAAAAACAACAGAAACAAACAACATAAAGAGACAACTATCAATCAGAGACATTTTGTTGGGGAGCGTTGGGGAAGGAAAGAGACTAAAGCGAAGATGGGACGCGCACAAGGTACTATGGTGATGGTGCACGGGTAAAATAGTGATGGATATTCTATGAGGGCATAAGAAAAGAAAGCAAACATTAAAAAAAAAGGAAATAATGTTGTAAAATATAATAAGCAAATTAAGAATATATATATGGTAGGTTCAAGACGGCAGTAGATTGGAGTCCCTGGGGTCAGGTCTGTTGGTACTCACAGCTAGATTGTAGCAAGGCAAAGCCAGTAACATCTAAAAGAAAAACAAATGATTACAGAGCACACTGAAAGTAACATGGAGAAGGGGCCTGAGCAGCAGTGAAAGGGCCCAGCAGGTAGGTCCTCCTGACAGGCAAGGTGCACTCCACCAGCCCAGTGGGCCTTGTAAGCAGCAGAGTGGAGTGTGAAAAGCCTTACGTAGTCACCCTTGGTGGATCTCAGGAAGCCCCAGGATTGAAGCTGGAAGCAGACCTGGGGTGGACATGGACTTGTGGAAAATTAGGGCTAGTCCTAGAAGCAGCTGCACAAGCAATAGCCCTTGGCATACTTCAGCGAGCTCCTCCAGGCAAGGTCTGAAGCAGCCCTACTGGCAAAAGTCCACCCACAGAACTCAGTGCACCACAGGAAGGTCCTGTAAGCAGCTTGTGTCCCTGAAGGCTCCAGTAAAACTCAGTGAGCTCCAGGATAGGAACAGGAAGTAGACCTACTCCATCAGGTCCCAAAGAACCCGATAAGCTCTGGGGCCGGTCCCAGAAGTAATGAGACCCCATAGGTCCTGGTAAGGGAGCAGACATGACAAGTCCTGGCAGTCAACTGCAAAGCTCTTCAGCAAAAGCTCCAGCTCCTACAGCCCAGAAAGACAGAGCAACACTATATGGACAGACAGCCTTTTGGGTAGGAGTGGGATTGATCAACCTTTGGTCAGCATATTCACAAAGACCCAAATTTTAACTAGCACATCACTTAGCAATCACAGCAGGTACAATCACATCCACCCAATCAAACCAATAAGATACCAAATATTTAACTTAAACCCTTATTCTCAAGTGTGAAAGTAGTTACTGCATCACCCAGGAGCTTCTAGAAATTTAGAATCTTGTTTCCTACTTCCTAAATCAGAACTTTCACTTTTAACAAGATCCCTAGGTGAGGCAAGTGTCCGTAAAGTTAGAGAAGCTAACAAATGTACAGCTCTGTCACCCTTATAAGCTATACAAGTGGGACTACATTAAACTAAGAAGCTTCTTTGCAATAAAAGAATTATCATTAAAACACAAAAATACTCTGCTCAATAGGAGAAAATATTTGCATATCATACAATAAGAGACTAACATCCAAGATCTACAAAGAACTCACAATTCAACAAAAAGAAAACAACCCATTCAAAAATATGGGCAGAAGAGCTGAGTGGAAAGTTTTCTAAGGAAGATATACAGAGGTCAACAGGTACATGAGAAAAGGTTCAACATGATTTATCATCAGGGAAATGCAAATCCTAACCACAATGAGATACCACCTAATACCTGTGAAAATGGCCTATCTTGGAAACCCAGAAACAACAAATATTGGCAGGGTACAGAGAAAAAGAAACCCTCGTACATTGTTGATGGGAATGTAGACTTCATCTCCTGTGGAAAACAGTAGAGAGATTTGTCAAGATACTAAGGCTAGATCTACCATCTGATCCAGTACAAGACTACTCCTAGGTATCTAACTGAAGAATACAAATTCACTAATTTGCATTAGTGCTGTTCACTGTGGCACTATGCTATTTACAATAGCCAAGTTATGGGAACCTAAATGCCCACTGACAAAGATGTAGGATGCATACACAATGGAATATTACTCAGTATTAAAAAAAGATAAATTCTTGCCATTAGAGGCAACATCAATGGACCACAGTGGGTAATGCTAAGTGAAATAAGTCAAAAGGACAAAGAAAAATACCAGGTAACTTCACTTTCAAAGAGATAAAATCAAGGAACTGGCAAAACTAAACCAAAAGAAAGCTAGAAGTCATATTTCATATAACTTCATATTTTTAGGCTTAGCACTTGAATGGGGTGGGAACAAAAGAGGCAGAAGGATGAATGGCCTAGGGAGAGGGCTCTGAGTGCTTTGATGGTGGGGACGCATATGTGAGGAGGTGTGAACCTATTCCCTTAAATCATGTAAACCAGTGTTACCTCAATAAAGGAAGAAAAAGAGCTCCAAGAAAAATCTATTACATAATTACAATATATGTGCATGACTGCTTGCAAACATACATGAGCATATATGTGTTTGTTTGCATAACACTGCCCCAAAAAAGTATAGGTGGGCCCAGAGAAATGAAATGAATGTCTTCAAGTACAAAGTTGATCAGCCACTGACCTACATGGGCATGTGAGTTTACGTGGACTGAGCAGGTAGCTGGCAGGGGCTCTTACCCTGGCTGTGAGATTCTCTTCCACTCACACACTATAGTCCAGGTCCTCAAGCAGACCCTTCATCCCAATGATGTCGTGGTTGGATCCAGTGCATTTGGGAAGATTTTTAAACTCTGTGTTACAAATGATGAGAGCCAGGCGAGTGTGGTTCCCTTTCTCTTGTATTGGATAAATCTGCAGAAGAAAGGCAATTTAGGCACACTGCATTTTTTTTTTAACATATTCATTGTGGTCAGAGTTGCACTCTCAAGAAAATAATAGCCATTTTCTTATCTGCTCACTTTTGCTAGAACTGTTTCTTTACTCTCTTCTATTAATGGATTATAGGAGGACTTCTGAAAGGAAGCAGAAGGAATGGGGAATGAGCTCAAACCCAGGGTATGAATATAAAAAGCAAACCCCCAGAGTGATGAAACAAGAACGTTTTATGGAGTGGATTAGAATATTTTTTCTTTTTCTTCCTTCTCTTTAGACAAACATTACCTAATATTCAAGATTCAAATCACATTTTAACATTTTCCACATACTTTAACCCACAGTGACTATAACTCAACCATGGAGTTCCTTATAGAGCATGATTTTTATAGCATCTCTTCATGCTTCCAGCATCTATACATAATGGGTTGCTATTTCACTATTGCATATTAAAGTTTTCTAACAGAATGATATCAACCCATAAGTATTTTGTACTGCTTAAAATGCCTAAAGATATCACTAAAAAAATAAAAAAAAAAAACAAAACCACTACACTCTCTCTTTGAGGACTTCTGGATATTGTATCTCTAGGTCACATTTCTACTTTAATTTTACCCCCATTCCATTCACTGAGCATCTCACAGTTTCAGCCTTCTTTCTGCAGAGTTCCAGGAAGTCTTCACAGGGACAAAGCTTAAGCTTGCCTGTGTGTTCTCTGGATGTTGTCCTTGCTGCAAAAGTACCTGCAAGTTTCAAAAATTTTAAACACAGAGGGTGGTGTCTAGTAGGCTGCTCTCTCACTGGGCTCTAGGCCCTATGTCAATCAAGAAACCTTCACAGAAGACATTCATTATTTTGGAAGATGGAAGAAAACTTTGTATGTGACATCTTAGCTTACAGAGTTATACTTTTGTCCATTATTAACAGAGATCAACTGTAGTCAGGCAAGTAGTCATTTTGTGGGAAGTATCTGACTGTAAGAATTACCTAAAAATAGCAGCATATGATTCTTTGGTGAAGAATGGAAGAAAGTCTCATAAGGCTCTGATGATATACCTCATCTTACAAGAAGTATCTGGCTAGTTCCTGAGAACAACTGGAAGAAGTGATTTTTATTCTGGATGGTACTTCCCTCTCATCTTTCTCAATATACATGGATTTAAATATTTGGCTCCTTAGTTCTTGATTCCATATACAGTTACTTACAAAATCTGGGTTTAGTGCCTCAGAAAACTAGCTGGCTGGGGACCTAACTTGCTAGAGCTGGTTGCAAGCTCCCTGGCAAGGGCTGGTTGTCAGATAGCTGGCTCAGGGTGATAACCATGAGAGACAGAGACAGATAGAGGAAAACAATACTTCGGGATAGTGTCACACCCTGGCATCCAGGGGGAATGTCAGAAAGCCCCAGGGCAGCAGAAATTACCAGCACAGTGGAAAGCCCCCAGGAGTGATTATAAAAGTCTACCCCCAGCAGTAGAGAGCTCCTCACTTGGACCTGCTCCTGCTGTCAGGAGTCTTTCCTGCAATAAAACACGTGTTAACCCTCATTCCAGTGTGTTGATTAGTGCTTAATTACTAGCACACAAGATCTCAGCCGACTAGTAACAAGGAAAGGTTTGATTTGTTGTTTTTCATTCCCTGCATAGCTGTGGAGTGGCTGAGATGACAGGGAAACATTAGGCTTTCTGGGGTGCTGGGCAAAGGACGTGTCCTTCCTGAAGACCTTGAGCTCAGAGGGTGGTGAGTCTTCTGGGGCAAGTGTGTTGGGGAACACCAAGAGAACAGGTTCAGGATGAAGACTATTAATGACCATTTCTCCTCTATCTAGTCTTTTGCTTACAATTTTTAAAAATTCCTAATTTTGTATATATTTTAGATTAGGTGTAGTCCCCATAGAATCCCTACCACCAACTCATCTGTGTACATTCACCTTACTCCCTTGTGCTCTCCCCACCCATGTGGGGAACCCTTTCCTTCTCCTCTCCCCTGCAGAATGTCTCTGATTAATAGCTGTCTGGTTATTTTTATCTGTGTTGTTTTGCTTTTTTTTTTAAAATAAAGTTATTCCCCTCCACCCCTATCCCCAATGCCTCGTTTGGTTTCCCTATATTCCTCCTATAAGTGAAACCATCCAATATTTTCCTTTTTCTTTCTGGTTCATTTCACTGAGATCACACCTTAAAATTTTTGTAAGCAACCATAAGAAGAAAGTTGCTTACAGGGTAAGCAGGGTACCCTGTATGATTCCCCAAATTCCCACAAAAGAAAAAGGAATTTAAGAGAAGGGCTCCCTTGACTTTCTCACATGAGTGGATTAGGCTGTAATACAGCACACAATGGAATATGCCGCAGCTGTAAGAAAAAGATAAAATCTTGCCATTTGTAACAACCTGTATGAAACTGAAGGGGATTATGCTAGGTGAAGTAGGCTAGAAGGAGAAAGACACATACAGGAGAGTGCCACAGGTATGGGAAATATAGAGAAATACAGAAAAGTGAAAGAAAGGATTGAATAAAGCCAAAATAGTAAAAAAAAAAAAACTCTAGAAATATGAGTGTAGAAAACTGATGGGGGAAGGACAAAGAACATTATGGTCGAGGGCTATGGGCGCTTTGGTGGTAGGTGGAGTGAGGCCACACATATCTGAAAGATGTGGTCCTGTACCGCTAAATCACACACAGCATTGTGAACCACTGTCACTTCAATTAAAAGAGTTCAATATAAAATTAAACAAAAAACTACTGGTTTGGGCCCAGACACTGGGAGCACAGACTTAGAGAAAGTGCTAAATTATGTCCTATATTTGCTGCCCAGTTACTCTATCACCGGTAATATTTACTATCTTTCATGAAACGCAATGCGTGGATTTGGCACTGTGAAGTCTGTGAGAAGCATTCCTAAGATTTCTATTTGTAAAAAAAAAAAAAAAAAAAATTGGGAAAATGTTTTTTTGTTTACACAGAATGTATGCTATTCTGTATTTTGGTTCTATACCTATTAAAGCTTGAGTTATGTATTTTGGGGAGTGGAGAGATGCTCCAGAGAAAAAGCTTAGAAACTTGTCTAACTCAAGTAAATAGAAAAGGAGGGGGATGCAACAGTTGTTTCAGTTTTTCTTGCAAGCCCTTCATGAACCACAATTACCTTCTGTCACTGATCAAAGTCAAGGTCTTTGAGTTTGTTTGTTAGTTTACCCCTGGGGAGGGTAGAATACAGTCTAATAGGTTATATTATTATCCTCTAAAATAAAACTACTTTAAAAATAGCAAAAGTGTAAGCCCTATTTTAGGAAGGACACAGGGACTACAACTGAGATGAAAAAAGTAAAAAAAAAAAAATGAAGAAAAAAATATATATATAGTTTAACAAAAAAGAAAAGAGAAAGACATCAAGAAACAAAGCAGAAAACAGGAGGAGGATGTTACTGGGATAAAGCAAAGAACAGGGAGAGAAGTTCAGCTGATGCGTGCTACGTGTTAGCGGATGGGAGCGTCAGGTGACTACAGATGGAAGGAGCAAATGCACTATCTTGTGTCTGCAAAGTGAGTCAACATTGGGAGTCCAGAGTCAAGAGCAAGTGCAGACATCCCTTGCACAGAACTAATGTCTCTTACTTGAAAACCCCAACTTGTCAGCAAGGACAGAGTCGGTCTTACAGATGCAGTCAATCAGTGTTTGGCTGTCAGGAGACCCCTTCAGGATCACAAAGTCAATCAGGCAGCGGGCCTTGGCTATAGTTGTAACATTTCCTGTTTTCACTATTTCAGCCTCCTTTGGATTCAATATCTTGTGACTTAGTACACTAGCCAACAAGGCGTTCAGGGTATCTTCAGATACTGACTTAACAACATTTTCCGTTTTTCCATTAATCCCTTTTCTGTTGGAAGCAGAAAGATAGTAAAACTTTACAAACATAGTAAATCACATCACTCTGTCACTGCATTAGCCAGAATTCTCTTTTTTTCTATATGTAGTCTCTCTTAATTGGTTAAATGTCCCAAGGAATGGACCCAATATTCCTTCCAATCTTAGCTAATGGACCTCACTCCAAGAATCCCAACCCATGTGGGTTCAAAATAAGACAATCCTTACCCAGTCTGTTCTCTGTGATGAGTTCTGCTTTGGTGAATGGTAAGGCCCAAGGAATCTGACCTGAGCTCTTGCTTTGCTGATTTTTCGCTTTAACTTCCACAGACTTAATGGTCACATTCTTGCTATTTTCATGTCTTTTACTTACGGACAGCAGTGCATGGTGAACCTGTCTTACTGATTTAAACTTCAGTCATTTGATATTTGACATTTAAATAAGATCCACAAAAGAATCTCAGTAAATGGAGCCCTGGTGGTGCAACGGGTTAAAGCATAGCACTGAGAAGCTAAAGCCACTTCAACATGAGTTTGATCTGTGCCCGCCCTGGAGGTGACCCACATGGTGCGACAGACCTCCCTTGACCCACTGCTGCTCCCCTCAGCAGTGTACTTCATCAGTTGTCCTGTTCTGCTCTCTACTCTGGTCTGGTGAATCCTCTCACTGCCCCTGCACCTCTGGCTTATACCCCAGCTCTGTATGAATAAATAAATAAACATTAAAAAAAAATAAACATTAAAAAAAAAAAAGAATCTCAGAATCTCAGTAAATGAGGTTACAGACCTACTGAATATTTAGTTTTTCTATGAGGAAAACCCAGCTGAGTAGCTGGCTTACCAGTCACATACCACATAGCCTGAGATCAGAGTAGAAGGCTACTTCTTTTATTCTCTAAATATTACTCATCAAAGTCTATAAAATTCAGTGAACAACAACATTTTGAGTCAATGTATCTCAGCTCTCTTTCCTAAAAACACAACTTGATCAAACAAACAACTTGCCAGCAATGGCCTTTGTGGCTCTCCTATTGTGAAGCAGCAAAACAACGAACTTACAAACACTGGGAAGAATAGGGACTTTCTGATGGGCAGAGCATGGTCACGTGCAGGGACACGTCACAGCACAGCATCTGTGGATGTTTGTATATATACCTATGGGTGAGGGAAGCTTTCCTTGTGTCTAGTGAGACCCTGAATTTATGTTTTAGGATTTATTCTCACCAAAGAATCTGATATTATGATATTATATCTATTTATGTACACAGTAATATATATATATATATATATATATATATATATGCATGTATATACACACACACACATATATGTGTGTGTATATATATGAGATAAAGATATGATAAAGTCATGACATTTCATCTCAAACTTAAACAATGTAATATTGTAATTATATCTCAAAGCTGCCAACTCAGATCATGGCAACTTCTAAATTTAAATAAATCAAGTGTTGCAAGCCTCCAGGCCTGTACTTATCTCCTCTCAGCCCTGGCTGGACAGGTACTGGGAAAGTACCACAAAGAAAAAATGTTGATGCCAAGTAACACCTGTTCAGGGTGTCCATGCTTCCAAACCCACACAAATTAAACCTCTTCCAGAGGATTCATTTTATCTCAGAAGTGGAAAGACTCCAGTGACTTTTCTAGCCAATTTTGATGTAGCATATATATCATATACATCAAAGGTTTGATGTATCCTACAGGGTCCCATAAAACAGCTTCTGCTACTCATCTCTACTAGTAACAGATGTTCTACTTATTTGAGGAAATTCATTCCATAGTGTCATTTCCTCCAGCTTTTATTTAATAGTTAACATCAAAACAATTAGGAAAAGGACTGCAAGATAAGATCGTTCACAAACCTGGCACCTGGGGAAGTTTGCTGGAATATGAGGTCATTTCCACAGAAAAGGGGAGTTTAGGAAATGGGAGAGGGAGTTCAACTACCTGGAAATTACTCAAAAGAAACCAATCTGTCTTGCTCTCTGACTCCCTTCCTTTGGAGCTGTGTTTAGATAGGGGTCTAGAAGCCTGGTCAGGAGGCCTTCAAAGAGAAAGTTTGTAGGTAAGGGACTGGCTAATTGCATCCGGACTGTGGTGGTTATCTGACCAGGCCCTTTTTTACTATACCTATTTGCTGCCCCACAATGAATTTTAGATTTTGGTTAGACAAAAAGTGAAGAATCCTGCTCTTTTGTTTATGAGCTTTGTCACCTTGGACTAAGCCTAATTCCTTGAACTATACAGTGGCCAGAGTATCAACATAAGAATCGCTGTGTGGATTTCATGACGAAGTATATTTAATAAACATTCCTTTAAGTTATATGGGCACATACACTTCAATGATGTGTCCACTTAACATATGGGATGATCCCATGATCTTTCAGGTGAGAAACCAAAGCATAGGGAGATTAAACAGCCTTTCCAAGGTCACACAACAAGTTTCAAACTTGAAAGGTCATCCAGGCCCCTCACCCAAGTCCCTCACCCAGGCCCCCAGAGTGGCAAAAGGTATCAATATCCAGCGGTATATCAAGATGAGATGGCTGCTGAGTTGGCGTCAGGATGTAGCCTCAGGTTGCTGCTCCCGCCCACAGGTAGCTGCTCAGATAAGGATCAAAGACACTGAACAAAGGTGACTGTAGACCAAAAGGGCAGCGTGACTCACTGGTATTTCCCACTACCTCCCCAGGCTTGACAGAGTGGGACATATAAAAAAAAAAAACCCTAGCCTGTACACTGGCCTGCACACTGGGGCTGTACACTCGGTGAGACTTCGCAGGCCCCTACTAGAGATCTATGAACCTCACCGGGAAGGGCAATAAAGCCTTCCCCTCTCTTGCTTCTGTCTCCTTGCCTTAAACTTACAAAACCCAGGTAGTCTGGTGGCAGATCCAATGTTCCTTTATCGTGCGAGACTACCTCCTCCACCTGACAGGGGTATGCACACAGTAAGAGCTCAGTACTATTGTACTGATGGTTACATTATTGTGATGGCTTTAGATAGCCCTGGAAGCAGGTGCTGTGCCACAAGTTTCTCTAGTATGTGTTTGCATTGTTTCATTCTAAAGACCTTGTGTGCTGGATGGGGCAGGTTACTATGGTGTCTTCACCTGAATAGTGTGCCTGTAGATGACTCAGGGAAAAGATGAGCCTGAATGAGAATCCAGTTTGTCTCATACCTGGAAAGATCTTTGGGATCACAAACCTCTTCCTTCTCTAGCATGTGTCAAGTCCTCTCAAAGGACACGGGAGGTAATGCTGAGGTGGTGCCTGCTTTCAAAAGGCCTAAGGTAAACTAGGATAAAAGCACAGTTTGAAGAAAAAAATACGACAGTAGAAGAGAATAGACAATTCACCAAAGGGTAGGAAAAACTAATGTGCGAACACAGGATTACAGAAAAGGGTAGATTTGAAAATGCTCCTGACAGAAAGAATGGTAGACTACAGGTCAAAAAAAGGAGGCTGTTGGGCCCTCCCTGTTGGTGCAACAGGTTAAAGCACAGCACTATGAAGTTAACTGCAGCCACCACAGCACGAGTTCGATGCTTGGCCAGGGAGGTGACCCACAGGACATGGCAGAACTCTCCTGACCCACCTGCTGCTCCCCTCAGCAGTGTATTTCAGTAGATCAACCTATCCTGCTCCCTGCTCTGTCTCCTCTCACCACCCCCAACCCTGCACATCTGGTCTGTACCCCAGTTCTGTATGCATAAATAAAAAATATAAAAGGAAGCTGCAGGGTCCACCCTGGTGGCACAACAGGTTAAAACATAACACTGCAAGTGCACTATGGTGTCTTCAGTGTGAGTTGCATCCCCAGCCACAGTCATGACCCACACGGCACAGCAGACTTCTGACCTGGCAGCTGCTCCCTTCAGCAGTATACTTCATTGATCTGCCTGTTATGCTCCACACTCTGTCTCTGGTGAATCCTCTCACTGCTCCTGCACCTCTGGCTAGCACCCTAGTTCTGTATGCATGAACAAATCAATCTTTAAAAAATAATACAGGAGGCTGTCCTCAAGGAGCACCTACTAAGTGGCAGGTATTGTGAAGAATGCTTTGCACACAGTAGTATACTGTTTATTCAGCATCCAGTAAAGAGATTTTAGTGCCATTTCTCCATTGTACTGATGGGTGGAAGCTTTACATTAAAGCTCTTGCAGGAAGTCACATTGTTAATATCTGATAGAAATCAAATTTAAATTCATTCTTCCAGGTACAAAACCCAGGCTATTTCATATGCAAATATGAGACAGGGAAGGGATGGCATGCCTATAGAGTAGCATAGGAGTTGAAAGCACAGAAATCAGAATGAAAATTATGTAAAAAAGGATGGGGGGCATATTTCCTTTTAAGGAGAGAATGCTTCTTACAGAGCAATGCAAGATACAAAATTATGTAGGTAAATTGGTATCTTTACTGAGGGCTTATTGCAAATTAATATTTTCTGTCAAGTTTATTGTCTCTCTCTCTAACTACAAAATAAACCCCCAGATGTGACTTTGCCTATATCTTTCACCTCTGTGTCCAAATGAGCTAAAACACTGGCTGCTGTCTGAGGTTTACCAATCTATACCACAAAGTAGAAATGCCTTAGAGTAAAAGGTAGAATCAATGTCAAACCTAGCAAATTAAGGAGTGAAAATAAGATATATGATAGATTTAAAGTAAGTTTAAAGTAATTTTCAACTAATTTAAAATGCAAAATTAAATCATTAAGATAAACTTAGGAAAGATAAATATGAATTAGTGAATGTAATCATAATGTATCCTCACATTTATTTCCATTCATTAAATATGTATTTACAGAATGTCTAACAAATGTCAGGCACTGAATTAGGATCTGAGAATTCAAAACAAGAATAAAGTATTCTACTTGTCCTCAAGGGATTTACTGACTACTATGGAATGCAGTGTGAGTTAATCATTGGCATTAAAAATTAAAATATGCACAAGGTAGGCTGAATGTGCATTTAATCAATTGCTCCACTGGTAGATGAACACATCGTCACAGCTTTTGGGGAGAGGAAAATCCTGAAAATTTCAATATAATCTTAAATATGATTTTATATATTTGCTTGTTTGTGCAAAAACCTGTCCACTAAGACCACTGTGGTCTATGTGGTCACTGTGGTCCCTAATGTCATTTCTATACACTGTATGACCCTAAAAACAAGAAGGGATCCTTATACAAATAGCCGACGATAGGTCAGGTACAGAGAACATTGAAAAAGTGTGGGATATTGTCTTAAACCAGAATGTTCTTAAATATGTCCTATGCAAATAGGACCTAGGTAGCAAACTTAGTCTACTCTAACTAGACAAAGGTGTAATTTTTTCTTGAAAAAAAAAAATGCCTTAATGTGATTTAAAAACAGGTTACATGAAAAACACTGTACACAAATTTTTTTCTTGAATTAGGAGAAACAAAAACTCTCCAATATGGGTGAAAGCTACTGGAGCACTCATTAATTACTCTGCAAAGCAATAGTTCAAGGAAAAGGAATTAAACCTTTACTTTCTTCTCCCATCTGAGTTATATTTTTCAGGGTAAACCAAATCACACCTAGTTCATGAGAGTAAGAATGATGGAAAATCATATTTTACAGCTCGTAACAAAAATAGGATGTGGAGTGTCAGTGAATGGCAACATCATCAGTAGGTTGACAATGGCCTCCTTTGTAAAGTGAGCATCAGGGGCCTGCCTAGTGACCTAGGGGCTAAGTCTCAGCATTATCACCTCTGCCTGTCTCGCCTGCTGTTCCCTTCTGCAGGGTGTTTCAATAGATCTTCTTGTTCTGCTCTGTCTCTGGTGCTCTCACATCACCTCCTACTCCCCCAAACCTCTGATCTACAGTCCAATTCTTCTATGCATAAATAAATGTTTTTTAAAAGGGCCAAACTGTTACTGAATCTCATCAATAGCATTATGACTGCTAAACTATACTGGATATTTTGCACATTCTGAAATGACACAATTTTATAAAGGGCTCAGAATACGCCAGAAATATTCTTACAAAGTACAACCTGAATCTAATCAATATTTGAAAATAGCTTCAACTTTACAAGAAATCTGGGGCACAGATGGACTCAAAATAGCAGTTGGCCAAATCCAGAATATAAGATATTCTATAAAACAATACAATTTTTCCAAAAGAGTTGATTGTATTTTAAAGGGGGGAAGGGCACTGTTTTTCATCAAAAAACCTTTATAAAAGATTAAAATATAGCCAAATATGAAGAGCTATTCTGATTTGGATTCAAATTTAGGTAAAACCAAGTATAAAAATGCATCTTCCAAAATAAATAATGAACTAGATTTATGACCCAGAACTTAATATAATCTTTAATGATTTTAAATCAATGAATAAGGAGAAAAATGTGAGAGAAAGGGCAGATTTCCCTTATAGAACAAACCAATTTTATGTGTGTGTGTGTGTGTATGTCATAACTGTATTATACATATGCAACTGATACTATTTCTTTGATAAAGTGGGGAGTACGGAAAATAGGACGTTTACAATGGAGAAATACATCATATACCCCTATCTGTACACATGCATATAGATACATATCAACACATATGTATATGTGTGCACAATTTATGTTCATATATATATATATATGAACATATATATATATATATATATATATATCTGTGTTTTACCTTTTGTATTTTTTTAAATTAAGCTAATATTGGACTATATCACTGTATATGATTTCGGGAAATAGGTTCACACCTTAGGAAATGCCTTGCAATTATCACAACATTGTTTTATACACACATATGCACACACATATAGTCAATGGAATATAACTTAGTTATTAAAAATGATGAAACAGTGCTTTTTGAGACAGGATGGATGGATCCTGAGGTGAGTATGAAAAGTGAAATAAATCAGAAAAAGTTACCAGATGGATTCATGTACTTGTGAAATACAAATGATCAATGAAAACAGACAGGCAAAGCAAACAAAGTAATACTCACAGTCTGTGAAAAATATAATGGTTAGCAGACAAACTAGATGGGGGGAAGATGGGGTAGGATGAAAGGTGATAAGAATTTTGGTAGAATGTTCTGTTCACATATGGAGGTGTGAAGTACTACTAAAATCAAATAGTTCTGTAAATGACAAATTAATATAGCATCAGTAGAAAATATATTATGAAAGATAAAATGAACTGTATGGTTGGGCCCTCCCTGGTGGTACAATAGGTGAAGTGATCCACACCCACTGCAGCACAAGTTCAATTCCTGGCTGGGGAGATGACCCATATAGCGTGGCAGACCTCTCCTGACCTGCCCACTGCTCCCCTCAGCAGTGTACTTTGTCAATCTGTCTGTTCTGCTCCCCACTCTGTCTCAGGTGAATCCTCTCACCACCACCAAAAACCTCCTCCTCACACACACACACCTCTGGCCAGTACTCCAGTTCTTGTTTGCACAAAATAAATAAATCTTTAAAAAAAATCTGGTTTGTAATTAAACAAACAAGCAAACAGATCAGCAGAATAGAATTGACAACCTAGCAATAAACCCACACTTAGTTAATGTGCCAAGAGCACACAATGGAGAAAGGCAAATCTTTTCACCAAAGGTTGTTGAAAAAAACTAGACAACCACATGTAAAAGAATCTAACTAAACCAATAGCTCACACACACTACACACTCAAAAAAAAATGGACCAAAGACTCAGAGGTAATACCAAAACCCATAAAATATCAATACATAAGCAAAAAACATAGGCAAACACTTCATGACACTGACTTCAGAGATGTCTTTGGGGACTGAATTCCAATGGCAAGAACAATTATACCAACAATGAATAAATGGGCCTACATCAAATTTAAAAGGCTCCCTCACAGTTAAAAAAAAAAAAAACAACTGTATCTAAAATGAAAAAGATAGGCTACTGAAAGGGAGAAAGTATTTGAAGTATTTGTGTGCTATAAATCTGACAAGAGGCTAATAACCCAAGATCTACAAAGAGTTCAGACAACTCAACAAAAAGAAAATGAAGAACCCTGTCAAAAAATGGGCAGAAGCTTGAAAGAGACACTTTACCAAACAAGACCTACAGAGGGCCAACACAACATGAACAAATGTTCAACATCACTTATCACCAGGGCAATGCAAATCAAAACCACAGTGAGTCACCACCTCACACCTGTGAAAATAGCCCATATCAAAAAGACCGGGAACAGTATTGGTGAGAATGT